TTACCTGCAGTGATTGGGATCTAGCTGGGCTATGAGTTCATTAACTTTTAAATGAATTTATCACTGAAAACTAATTATAGACCTACTATCATGTGAGAGTCCGAAATTTTTTCCAATAACAAAGGTGTACTCATACTTGAAAAGATTGGGAACCACTTTTCTAGGGCATTTAGAGGTACTATAAAGACAAGACAGTTTACTGGGCAACTTCTCAACTAATGTAAGTGCTAAAAATTCAACATCAAGAATAATTCTATGATATAAAGAGCTATAGTACCAAATGGATGGTTAAAATAAATTTCAATTGATTCAACTCATTTAAACAAATATTTATTGAAACAGAATGATCAAAAGATGACTAAGATGTCAGAAATTTATATGGCTTTTAAGGGAATTTATTAAAATCTGAATTTTCCTGAAATTTGTCAATAATAGCTAATATTTACATAGTGCTTCAAAATTTTCAAAACACTTATCTCCATTTTACAGATAAGGAAAATGAGGCAGAAGTTGGCTCACCCAGAATATCACTGGGTGATACAAATAAGTGAAGCAGTCCAGAGCTCTTATTTGCGTTACCAAACATAAAGGCAGCATGGTATGCTATACTTGACAAAAGTTCAAATTTCACCTCCACAATAACTAGCGGACATGGTTGTTATTATTTGTCCTCTGTTCTCAAAGAGGACCATGGTATCAAGAAGGTGATGCCATGACTTGAAAGTGAATTAGAGTTAAGTGAGGAGGGCTATGCAAAGTCACTAGCCTCATTCTCTCCCCAGAACCATCTGGGTCCAATGGCAACATACGACAACTGGAGATGGCCCCCATATGATATGGGATTGATTACTTAACCTCTAGGTCTTAGGACTTACATACTAATTCATGGGCAGATAGTAATCTGCAGGTGTAAGGGGTGTTCCTATACTCAAGGAGTCAAAGATCCTTTGCATATTCACATGCAAAAAAAATTAATTCATGTGCAAAAATATTTAAGCATAACCACTTTTTTCAGGAAAAGAGAATTTTAAAACTCTCAAAACGTACTGGAATTGTATTTGGAAAAAAAAATATCCATTTATCTACTTCAAACTAAATAATACAAATTAAAACCCTTTTTTCCCCATAAAAGAACAATAAAACAGTAATTTATATACTTCTAGCATAATATATGAATCTTGTACCTTTTTGGTTCTCTTTTTGAATCTTTGAAGTCTAAAAAAAAAAAAAGAATTTGTTTCAATCATTTATAGTTAGTAAACTAAAGCAGATTTACAGAATCTAAAATAATCCTACCAATGATTTGTAGAAACTGGATTTGGGGTTGATTTTAATCAGCTGGAGTAGATCTTGCATAGTAAAAACCTTTTTAAAAGAAAATTAAAAATTAGTGGTATAAAATTCTGTCATTTTAGGTATGCTAAACAAAAAAAAATCAGAAAATACAGCAACATTCAAACTAATTGTACAAGTATAACTATACAAATAAATTTGATTTTTATACACAATTACAAATCAACACTCACAAATTTACCATACCTACATAGCTTTTAAAGCACAAAATTCAAAGACTTTATTCCATGAATGGAAGCACAGGATCAGAACGTATTAATACTAATAATAAAAGTTAACATTTATATAATGCTAACTATGTGCCAAACACTATGCTAAGTACTTTTTACAAAAATTATTTTACAGATGGGAAAACTGAAGGAAATAGAGGACATGACCTGCTTCAGGTCACATTGCTAGTAAGTGCCCGAGTGTCTCCAGGCTGGGAACTCTAGTTGTGCTGTCTAGTTGCTAGCTATAAAAATGAAGGACAACATGAATCTACTTTTAAAAAAGGAAAATAAACTAATATGTAGCATTTCTTACATAATATCAGTAGCTCTGTATGAAAAAATTTTAAATTAAATATAAGTAAATTAATATTAACTCTAATATCTATAGCATTTCATGTTTTACAATTTGTTTTCCTTACAATATTGCTATAAGAGAGACTGTCCAAGTATTATTAGGTAGATGGGCAGCTGCCTCATTCACTCAGATAGTAAATCAAAAACTTTTTATCAATAGGGCAGCTAGCTTGGAGTCAGGAAGACTTGAGTTGAAATCCTGGCCTCAGATACTTACTAGCTAGCTGTGTGACACTGGGCAAGTCACTTAACCCTCTTTGCCTCAGTTTCCTTATTTGTAAAATGAATAGGAGAAGGAAATGGCAAACCATTCTAGTATTTAATGTGGTCACAAAGAGTCAGACATGACTGAAACAATTGAAAATCATCATACTCATTGAAGGACATAGGGATAATAAAGCTGGCACACAGCTTCCAGGTAAACCGTAACTTGTCCCGACCATGGACTCTTGGTGTCCTCTGAATCCTTTTAGTTGAGTATACCAAAGAATTTAAAGTATTCATGTAGATTATTCAAAGAAGATCCAAATTGTCTAAGATACATTAAGAATAATAGGAATTCCTAGAACAGGTAAAAAATCTAAAACATTTTTATTTAATCAAAGTAGCTGGTATATTAAATTGAGTTGTTTCCTTCTTTTAATCCAGAAAGGTCCTTTCTCCTCTACAAAGAGGATAGCGTATCTTTCTACATTATTATTGATTCTATTTTGTTGATTTCCAGTCAGACATGATAGAGAGGAGCACAGATTTAAGGTTGATTTGAAGTACTCAAGTACAGTTGTTTTACTGATGAGAGGAAAGTAAGAAACATTTTATCCAAGTGAATTAAAAAGAAGAGAAAGGATAATTACCTTTTCTTTTTCTAAGCCACTCTCGGGAAAGAAAACAGAGAGGGAATATTCATAGCCACACCTGCGCAGGTGATCAGCCACAAGGCTATTAGAAGCCCCAACTAATAGTGAGCTGCCTTCAACAGGAATAGACTGTGGCTGCACTTCTCCACTCAAAACAGGATGCATCAACTCATGTATGAGCTGGTTTCGAAGTTGAGTCTACCTCAAACAAAAAAAAGGAATACATTAAAAATTTCACTAAAATATTATTTTGTTTAATCAAAGTTATCTGGAATATTAAATTAAATAAGTTTCTTTCCTTCAACCCAAAAAGGTTCTTTTCCTCTTAAAATGAGAACAAAATATCTTTCTACATTACACACTGATTACACTGCCAAAAGACCTTACAAAGCAATTGTTTGTCATCTCATTAAGGAAATGACAGTGAGCTGGCTGCAAAGATGAAAGAATTGGGTACATCCCATCACTTTGTACCTATTTTCTTCTGGGTGTCAGAGTTTTAATTACTTCCAACAGGCAGGTTCAAATACCACCTTAAGTGGCAGGGGTGTGCTGGCTCCTCCTACCTGTAAAGCCAATTGTTAAATATTCAGTGTGAGCAACTTACACCTTGGAAATAGGCAAACTACAAATGAGGGGTTGAAATATTGTTTTGCTGACTGTCTAGACATAAAATGATGGAGAAAATGTTAATTTGCAATGCAAAACAGTGACTTGTGAGTACATTCTTTTTTTTTTGGAGAGTTAGTTTTTAAACATTTACCAGCATTTCTCTGATTGTATTAGTTTAACTTTTTAATTTTTTTTTTTGGTTTTCTTTCCACAAACTGCTACAGGAAGGTCTTCAGAAAGTCAATTTTCTCCTTCCTTTCCACTTCTGAACAATAAGCAGAATGACATCCCCAGAAGTAGCTGTCAAAATGAAGCATTTTATTTACCATTCTATCCAAAAGTTGAGATTATCCCTTCACAACCTACCAAAAGGGATTTAAAAAGAAAAATCAAAAAACTCTCCCTGTTATACTTTAAAATTTAACAAAATTAAACATGACATTTTTTAAACTTCTAAGAACAGAGTATATTAGCTCTACAATGTTACATTATCAAAATGTTTTTTTCTTTAATGACTACTTATTTCTATCTGAAACTTGTCCTTAAATGTATACAATTCTGCATTTAAGACTTCAAAATGAAACCACACAATTGAAAACACCTATGCAATATTTAAAAAAGTCCCATCTACCATGGTAGCTGTGTGACTACCATTAAATTCACCCATTTTTGGATACTACCATCCCACATCTTTTGTTTATTAAAAAGCAAACAAATGCCTCAAAGGTACCTTGAGTGTGTCCAAAATACCCCGATTCTTAAACGTCTGGTACAATCTCTTTCGGAGTTCATCCTGAGACAATACCCGGGTTTCAAAAGGCATCTTGAACTGAAGTAGGAGACGGTGTCGCGGGTTACATGGAGGTGGGAGTTATTTCAAAACAGCACCCAGATCCCTAATTATTTCAAGAACAACAAAAAGTGCCCGTCAGCGACACCAAAGACCTCAGCAGAACATCCTGTCGTTCATGAAAAGGGTTTCTATTTCCTGGAGGACTTCACAAAATTGTAGCTGGACCCCACCCACCCCGAGCCCCTACCTCCCAAAGGGACCTGTGTTCCTCACGTTTGCAGGACAGGGGTTTAAACGCGCCCCCCCCCCCGCCTCACAGGGGGAGAAGAGTCCTCCAGCCCCACCGGCACGGGTTTTAACCCCCTCCCGGAGGCCACGCTCCCGGGTGGGGTCCCCGAAAAGACTGCCGACTACAACGAAGGATAGTGGAGAGCCTGGAAGGGGTAGAGATCAGAACCTAGGCCGCTTTCTCTTCACACGAGGCCGGAGGGAAGCTCAGGGCCGAATCCAGTCATCACCTGACGGGGCGAAAGGCTCCAGAAGGAAGCGTGGGTCAATATAAGGGATCCTGGTGGCCCAAAGGGAGTTTTTACTGGTTTGGGTGTAGATTCCACATCGACTACAGGGGTCTACTCTAGGTTGTCCTAGAGACGGTCCCTCTTGAGACGTTCCCTCTAGACCCGGCCAGGCCGCCACTCGGCCCGCCACAGCCCAGTCGCACATGCGCACAGATACTTTGGTACGGGTTGTGTAGCGCCTTAGCCTCGCGCCAATCCGCGGCGGGCTCCGTTGTCGCGAGAACTGAGGCGCCGCGGAGCGCCGCGAGAATTGCTTTTATAGAGGCTCAAGCTGGATCTTGTCTGAGTAAGGAGGGAGGTGGCTGGTGCGCTTGTTGCAGGTGCCGCGTCCTGCCCACAGGTAAGGACCGGAGAAAGCCTGGGAGAGGCAGATTGAGGGAGGGAGGGCTCCCGGGGTCCATGCTTATGACAAGGCCCCGCCCTCCTCTTCCTCTTCCCTCCTTCCCCTCCCCTCTCACTCCCCCCCCCAGCCTGGGTCCGGGCCGCCCAGTCGCCTGTGAGCGTCACGGTTGTAGGGTTAGAACTGGAGTGGGAGGAGCCCCTCCCCCAAGAACTAGGCGGAGTTTCCGCCATGTTTCCCAGCCCCGGTTCGCCCCTCTGTTGCCTAGCAAAGAGTAAGCTCCTTGCTGGCTTTCCGTACTTTTCTTTTTTATCTCCCTCCGGCGCCTAGCACTGTGTCCTGATACATTGGTAGATTTAATTTTTTTCACAATTTTATTTTTAAGTTAGTTAGAAGGTAAACTTACTAATTGATCCTGCTTTTGTTTCTCCGACAGATTCTACCGAGACAATTGTACTCAGTCGCTCAACTTTTATTTGGGGTACATTTGTTTTGCTTCCTGGATTTTGCTTAACAGGCATTTGGTTAAGATGGATTGATAGGCCAGTCCGTCAATAAACATTTATTAAGTGATGGGCAGTCTACTGTGCTAAGCACTGGGGGGTATAAGGAAAAGCAAAAGACATCCCCCTGCCCTCAAGGAGCTCACAGTCTGATGGGGAGACAAGAAGATAACTATGTACAAACAAGATGCATGCAGGTTAAATTGGAAATAATCACCAGAAAGAAGGCGCTAGAATTAAGGGGGAATCAGGAAAGTAGAAGGTTTAGGAGATGTTTAATGATCTAGCAGAGGAGACGGAGAATTCTTCTCAGTAGGATGAGAACCAAGAGACAGCAGGAGGAGAAATAATTGAGGAAGAGGGAATGGTTAATATTAGCAAAAGCTGCAAAAACCTAGAAGAAGGAGGTCCAAGAAAAGATCATCCAGTTTCATAGTTAGATCATAGAAATGAAAGGGACCTTTGAGGTTTTCCAGCCCTACCCTCAGCATTTTAGAGATGAAAACATTGAGGCCTAGAAATTAACCGACTTGCCCAAGATCATTCACACTAGTAAGTGGCTGGGGCAGGATTTGAACCCAGATCCTCCTATTCCAAATTCAGCACTCTTTCTGCTGTACCTCACTGTCATTGAATGGAGCAGTTTCATTATAATGACAAATTGTTAACAGGTTCCTTATATTCAGCCAAATTTATTTCCCCATAGACTTACCCTTAACTTGATTTTACTTTATCCCTCTGTATGCCAAACAGTTGCAAAGACTCTCTGATCCCTGTTTCTCATAATAACCCTTCACATATTTGAGATTTGCCAGGCAAAACAATCTTTAGCAATGCTTGATAATGATGTGGTTTTTTTTTTGGGGGGGGGGTTGAGATCCTTCATCATACTTGTTTCCCTTTTCTGTTTGTTTCCAGTTTCATCTAAGTTCCTCTTAAACTGTGATGTCCAGAATTGAGTATGTCATTGCATATGTCATGTGAGCAGTGGACAGTGCAATAGGGTTATTACTGTACTCCCTTGTTTTAGACATTATACTTCTATTAATGCATTCATTTGTGGGCCAGCCATATCATACCATTAACATTGAGCTTGTAGTCAAGTAAACGTAGGTTTTTTTCACCTAAAAAGTACTGTTTCCACCTCTGCAGTATTTCTTGCATCTGTCTTACCTTCCCTTCCACCCCAGGAGAGTATTGTAAGCAGCAAACAGGTGTGGAAGCAGTGAAAAGTTGTATTTTGGGACAAGATGAATATTTTTTAAAAAAAGGCATCAGTCAAACTTAAAAATATATCTGGCAGGAAATGAACCTATGCCAATATCTCACACCATATCTCAGTGAATTTCACCTGGATGATAGACTTACACATAAAAAGAACAATACAAACAATGGGGGGGGGAGGGTATAGAATGAAATAGTTGTCTCAATCTTTAGGGGAAATATTTTTGTTACAGAAATAGAAGAAATTATTGGGGTAAAGATAAGTTGCTTGATTACATTAAAATAAGTTTCTGTACAACAAAAATGGTATGAAGTTTTTAAAATGTCAACTTAAAGGAAATCTTTACAGCCAATATCACATATTGAAAACTTGGCATCTAGACTGGAGAACTGTTAAAAATTTTACAGAAACAACATTCAGCCCCCAAAAGACACAAATAGACAATTTAAAAGCAAACACTGGTTGCTAATTATTTAAACGTGCCCAAACCCACTAATAACCAAGTAGATGCAAATTTTAATAACTATGAGGTACTACCTCACACTCAGCAAAATTGACAAAAATAATTAAATGCAATGTAACAAGAAATCACTATGATCCAGACAAAGCTCCTAGAAAGCAGACTGGTATTTTTTTGTCTTTGTATTTTAAGTATACATTAAATTTAACATGGTAATACTAACACTGCCAAGCTTGCTAAATTTCCTTCTCCCATCTGTGTGTGTGTGTGTTTCTTTTAACATTTTACTGATACATCATTCATTTCTTTGTGTGTATGTGTCAGTTCTCTATAACTCTCCTGTTCAAACCCTCTCACTCCCTCTCAAGCACTCCTTTGTAACAAAAAAGTTCAGTGAAGCAAAACAAATCTATACATTGGCTTTGTCTGAAAATGTGTGTCTTATTCTTATGCGGTATTATTTGTCATTGTAAAAACTTTGAAGAAACCTAAGTGTCCTAAAAATTGGGGGAGGTCATATTGTAATTCAACTAAGAATCTGGCTGGAATTTTATGAAATAATGCAAGGGGAAGGGGTGAAGTAGAGCCCAAAGAACAGAGTACATACTAACTACAAGCACGTAAAAGTAAATGGGAATTAATAGGTAAAGAAATCTGGAAGAAACTTGAGACATTCTATATTTCAAAATACATTTAATTAAATAACTATAAAAACAAGTTTAATTGTTGTATGGATTAATTTAAAGCTTATAATAAAGCATTTTAAAACATTTTCTATGTCCTTAATCTGTCCCCATTGCCTGTAATATATTAAATATTTTAATTTGTTTTTCTATCCCTACACAGATGATCTTATTAACTTTGCTTCAATAATATGCATCTTCCACATAGATTTATGATACCTTAAGACTTTGCTAGACTTATATTTCTGTTTTTAGGGTGAAATTCACAGAGATTTGTTATCTCATTTACTTAGGACCTGTACATTGGCGACAATGTCTGGAAGCTTCTACTTTGTAATTGTAGGCCATCATGATAATCCAGTTTTTGAAATGGAATTTTTACCAGCTGGAAAAGTGGAATCTAAGGTGCGTATGCAGCCTTAAAAACTCTTTAAAGTGATTTTGGTGTTGTTATGATAAATACGGGATAAGATCATAGTGGTGCAACAGATATAAGGAAACTAATGTCCAGTGAGTTGAAGTGATTTACTCCCGGGTCACACAGTAAGGTAGAAATAGAACTAACATTAGAACCCAATTTTTTACTCCCAGTTCAATAAAACTTTCTCCTGCATCATGCTCCCTTTTATTTAAAAAACAAACATTGGGGGCTGCTAGGTGGCGCAGTGGATAGAGCACCAGCCCTCAAGTCAGGAGGACCTGAGTTCAAATCCGGCCTCAGACCAAACCTGGGCAAGTCACTTAACCCCATCTGCCTATAAATAGATAGATAGAGAGAGAGATAGCATTAAAAGCATGATATTCTATTTTATCATACAGTGTCAATATGGTAAGAATTGTCTTCAGAGTAACATGAAAGTTAGAGTTATACCACAAATCATCAGTTTTCTTATTAGGGCACAACTAAATTATAAACCCCTGGATGAAAGGGTTAAAGAGGTCTATTACTTTATATTGTTCCATTTTTCTTGAATAGTCACCATAACATTTGCTATAGCCATCATTCCTGTAGATTCTCCTATCTGGTCTCAATGTGGGCCAGCATTAACAGACGTTGTGTTACTTTGCACTGATCTTAGACAGCCGTAGGTGATGTTTCACTTCAAAGGCAGTACCCAGCCGAGATAAAAGCGTTTAGCAGCAGAGAGGAGAATGGCCTTGTCCATCTTTGTCCTTTATTTTGTTTCTGAACCAGTACATTTCCATATCTAATGAGTATCAATGAATAAATGTTATTGTGCTTGTTCTATGTTTATACCCCAGGGATAGACTGTATTGTTGGGTACTTAAAGTCATTTAAGATTCATTATCATTTAGTCTCTTCCAAGGCAGATTGGTATCGTGGAAAGAGCACTGGATTTGTAGTCAAGGGACCAGGATCAAATCCCACTATGTCTACTGCTTACGATTTGTGTGATTGGGGCCTTAGTTTCCCCATCTATAAAAAGAAAAAGACCAGATGAGTTCTAATCCCTACCAGCTCCGTGATACCAATAATAATGCATTGTTTCCAGAGTTTCATTCTAATTTAAAAAAATATTTTGTTCGTGCCCCCCACAGCATAATAATTTCCTTGTTTAGAAGGTGTTTTGGGGTCAGTTATTGGTTTTTGTTTTTTGGGGTTTTTTTTGCTAAATCAGTTCTTACATTAGAGAACTTATTTAATGAGTCGTACTCATTAAAATTTTATCTTTACTTCTTTAGGGAAATCAATGTAGCTGAGTGTAATATGATGGTAGTATAATGCATATTGCAGAAATATTTATGCTCTTTCCTGATCTTAGCTCCTTTTCCTAATGTCGTAGGAAACTTTCTTGATTTCTTCCTGTTAGCTCCTTAATGTTGGAAAACTTTGTCTCAATCCTTTATCCCAAAAATCTCATTGTTGATCACAAGTGCAGAGCATCTGGAAATAAGATGTTTTTGTGAACAAGACATAAAGAAAACCCATTTCATTGGAAGTTAAATTATATATGTAGCATAGGATCATAGTTTTGGAGGTGTAAGTGACCCTAGAGAACAAATATTCCAACTTCATTTTATAGATGAGGAAACTGAGGCACAGACAGAAGTAGACTCTCAGGCCTTTTGCTACCTATCTGGTCATCTCACACCTTCCTCAACCCCTCTCCTCCAACCAATTACTCCATAAACTAGTGACACTGGCCTCCTCGCTGTTCCCTTAAACAACACTACCATCTCTTGACTCCAGATGTTTTTACTGGCTGTCCTCTGTGCCTGGAATTCTCTCCCTCATCTCTACCTCCTAGCTTCTCTTTCCTTCAAGTTTCTGCTAAAGTCTCGCCTTCTGCAAGGACTTTTCTCAGTTTCCCTTCTTTCTGTTGATTATCCTGTAAATTTCTTCTAATAGAAAGCTCTACATTGTGTACAAAATGTTTTGTAACAATTTCATTTAGCCCTTATAATCTAACATTTGAGGGAGATATTGTAATTATTATCTTTATGTTATATATTTATATGCTAATGATAATAGTGGCATTTATACAACAGGGCTTCTTAAGTTTTTCCACTTTCAACCTACAGTTTACGAAGCACTCGCTATAAAACACTTGAAAGTTTGTTGTTTTTCAGGCTCATCCAACTTTGACCCCATTTAGGGTTTTCTTGATGAAGATACTGGAGTGGTTTGACATTTCCTTCTTCAGCTCCTTTAACAGTTAGCAAAGCACTATACATATGCTGTCTCATTTGATCCTCACAACTATCCTGAGTGGTAGCTTCTATTGTGATCCTATTTTACAGATGAGGAAACAGGTTGAGAGAGGTTAAGTGACTTGCCCAGAGTCACATAGCTAGTTTGTGGGTCAGGTAAACTTAGAGAAAACTGAAGCTTAGAGAAAAACATTACCCAGGGCCAGACAGCTAAGTGAGTGACACAGCTAAAAGTGAATTCCCAGGTCTTAGGATTCCAAATCCAGTTCTCTTTACTGGGTTGTCTGTGGTCTATAATTTATTTCCACAGTGAACTGAAAGAATGTCTTATAAGGAAGAAAAAACAAAAGATCAAAATAATCCTTAGAAACGGTGTTCGTAGTTATCCTTCAAATATTTTTAATTCCTTATTTGTTCTACCATATAAACACTATGACATTATTTTAGAATTCATATCAGGGGATGATATGTGTATTTAAGATGTGTCAAGTTTCTTTTGTTAATAAAAGAATGAATTTCAATGTTGCAGTCTTGGATTGTGACAATGCAAAGAACATTAGACACTTATTTTTCAGTTGTAGGTATGCTGCTAGCATTATGACCTGAGCAAGTCACTTGACCTTGAGTTTTGGTTACCGACATATAAAATGAAAGGGGTGGAATGGAGCTTCATGGCCTTTAAAACTCTATTGCTATAGTTTCTAAGCTTTTAAATACCATGCTGTAATAGAAAGAACCTGAGACTTAACCTAAATTAGATCTTTATTTGTGGCCAAATGCATATATCACTTAAAGTCAAGTCAGCAAGCATTTATTAAGCAACTACCATGTGCCTGGCACTGTGCTAACCACTGAGTCTACAAAAGAGGCAAAAACAGTTCCTGCCCTCAAGAAGCTTATAGTCCAGCGAGGGAGAAAACAAAAGAGCTATCTACAAAGGACATACAAAGGATAAATTGGAGGTAATCTCAAAGGGAAGGCAGTCACATTAAGAGGGACCAGGAATAGCTTCTTGCAGAATGTAGGGTTTTAGCTGAGATTTCAAAGAGGCCAGGAGACAGAAACAAGGAGGGAAAACATTCTAGGCATGAAGACGAGCCACTAAAAATGCAGTCAGGTAGTAGATGCCTTGTGTGAGGTACAGCAAGGTGGCCCAGTGCCTTTGGGTGTCAATGAGCATTGAGGGGAGTAAGGAGTAAGAAGACTGAAAAAATAGGAAAGGGCCAGGTTTTGAAGGGTTTTGAAAGCCAAAAATTGGTCCTAAAAGAGCCCCTAGAGTAGTCAGAACTATGCTTTAGTAAAATCACTTTGATAGCTAACTGGAGAATGAACTAGAGTGGTAAGAAACTTGAAGCAGGGAAGACAACCAGAATGCTTTTGGAATAGTCCAGGCATGAGGTGATGAGGGTCACAGCAGTGTCAAGGACCAATCAAAAGTGAAATGCCAAATAGGTTGGTTTTGATGAATAGGCTTATATAGAGCAGTTGCTTTGATGTCACAACTACCCTTCCAGGTAGGTACTGTTTTTATCTCCATTTTACAGTTGAGGAAATTGAGGCAAACAGGTTAAGTGACTTGTCCATGGTCACAAAGCTAGTAAGTGGCTGAGGCCAAAGTTTTCCAGTTTACTAAAGAGGCACTGCCAATCATGGGTCAAGATAATCTCAACAAATAACACTTCTGTAAAATTAGCAAAACTAGTATTTCTATGTGTCATTGTTGTGATTTATATAAGGGAAACAAGCAAAATAGCTATTCAAAATAATATACACAACTTGATGGTGAGCAAGTAAAAATCTGCAACTACTGACTGACCTCTGCCATCTATATAAAATATGAGGGTCCTGGATAAGGATAAGTAGAAAATAAGCAGACTTTCAAAAGCCATATAGAATAATGGACCACATATTTATCATTTCACAAGTGACTGAAAGCTGTAGAGAATATAAGATCCCATTGTGCCTGTTTATTGATTACTTCTGCCACCCCTCCCCAAAAAACCATCTGACTTCATAGAAAAAAAATCTCTTTTACAGTAAGGTGTCCTTATCCATATATCCATATCCGTGGATATCCTATCCATATGTCAAGAGTATTTAGTATTTCTTGGAAGATGTAATAATAGAAATAATCCTGGTCAGTGACTCTAGTCATCAAACGTCAGGCATAAAATAAGATGTATCTTCACCAAAAGTGTTTGCCACTGTGGGGGAAGAGACCCAGCACAGAGTCCAAGTTGAGGAGGAGTTTCCTGTGAATGATGAGATTCTTTAAACAAACAGGCTTGTTCCTATTTGTAGATGACATTATTTTGTTGTTATCAAGACCCAACACATTGCAGAGCCTCTAATCACTCAAAGGAGTTTGGCCTGTCCATCCACACAGGAAAGGCCAAATGGATAAAGAACATCTATTAACCAGATTTCAACGTGCATCTGAAAGGGTACCCATGAGAACTTTTCCAAAAGTATGTATATTTGGGACAAACAGTACTCAAGTCTAGGTTGACTAGGAGGAGAACAAGTTGGTTTGCTTGGGAGACATTACAGTACGTTCTTACTTGTCACCTGCATCTCATAAAAAGCAAAGATCCATCTTTTCAATACAAACATTTGACCACTGTTACTGTATGAGAGAAAGACCTGGAACACTACTACTTCCAAAGAACTAAAGACAAATATTACAAAGAAGGCATGTGGTGGATGTGAGCAGGACACTTCAAATTTCCAGAAAATAGGAGTAAAGGATGTCTTCAAAGAATTATATGACAGAATGTTCATATAATGAGATCAGGGAATGACAGGTGAGCATCCAGAATGCTCCACTGGCATTCTCCATGTCAGGAGAAAACAAGGAAGGCTTTTAATACGTGGGAAAACATACATGGGTTATATCTGCAGCACTGGAAAGAATTCCTGAATGAGGAATTCTTCAGTGAGATCACATATCTATTTGAATTATTGACTTATCAATATAACACTTCTTTTTACTTGCCTTTCTACCTCCATTTACCACAATTATAAGTGGAATTTTATTCAAGAACTACTTTAATTATGTGTAACAGTTAAATTTCCTTACATACCTGTCTCTTGATGTGTACTTTATAAAACTGTTATAAAATTGAAGCCTAGGGTATTTCTCCTGTTTTTAAATGTAGAAATTATGAAGTATGTTCCCTTGATGAATAGAGAACTGAGCTTAGAGTTGAAGAGAACTTTTTTAAGGGCCTCTTCTGACATATATAGGCTATGTGAGTTAAAGTTTTTGGTTTTAAAATATAGAATAAAACATGTAAAAAATAGTACAGCATTATAATTATGACCATAAGAAATATAAGTAAGAAAATAAAGTTGTGTGGCTTAAAACCACACCTGGAATTTTTCATAATGAAATATTTATATTGTGTGAAGTGAAGCTAATATCTCTTGCTGTCCATGTTTTACTCCAGGATGATCATCGTCATCTGAACCAGTTCATAGCTCATGCAGCCCTTGACCTAGTAGATGAAAATATGTGGCTGTCTAACAATATGTACCTGAAAACTGTGGATAAATTCAATGAGTGGTTTGTTTCTGCTTTTGTTACTGCAGGCCATATCCTTTTCCTATCAATAATACATTTTAAAACTGTACATTAAGTTAAAAATCTGAAAAGATGAGCTATAGCAGTACTGTATATACTTGCCAGGGTTTGAGATTGTGATGGCATTCCATCATTATGGAAGATTTAAAAAATCCTCCCTTGAGGGTATTAATCCATATTTTTTAAAAGGTGTTGTAGCAGCTAGGTGGGGCAGTGGATAGAGCACCAGCCCTGAAGTCAGTAGGACCTGAGTTCAAATCCGGCCTCAGACCAGACACTTGACACTTACGAGCTGTGTGACTGTGGGCAAGTCACTTAACCCCAATTGCCTAAAAAACAACAACAACAATACCACAGCCTGCTTTAAATTGCAGTTTTGGGGGCAGCTAGGTGCCACAGTAGATAGAGCACCGGCCCTGAAGTCAGGAGGACCTGAGTTCAAATGTGGCTTCAGACCAAACACTTGACACTTACTAGCTGTGTGACCCTGGGCAAGTCACTTAACCCCAATTGCCTAAAAAAAAACCAACAAATAAACCAAAAGAAAAAAAAGGTGTTGTAAATTGGAGAAAAAAAGTTATTTGTAAAATCCTGTTTCTAGTTTACTTTTGAAATTTAAGTGATAAGTTTTTTAGTTAAGTACTATATTAAATGTCTTTGGGAGTCAGTGTTGGCCTACCAGATAGAGTGCTAGGCTTGCCTATTTTTACTAATAGGGTTAGGGATAAGAACTTGACCAGTGATTGTATTGATACAGAGAAATCCAAGATGGGGAAACTCAACAATATCAATGCAAGTCAGCATTAGAAAGATGCCTCCAATACTAAGAGACTGAATGACTTGTTCAGGGTTAAACTACCAGTGTGTCAAAGGTGGGAGTTGAACCCTTATCTACCTCCCTTTGAGATCAGCTCTCTGTCCACTAGACCAAAGATGTCAGTAGATGTGGCCTTTGGGCCATGTGCTGTCTGCAGCATTCCCAAGTGCAGCCCAAACCAGATTAAAATGTAAATGGGAAGTATTTAACAAAATAAATACAAAATACAGAAGATAATATTACATAAATTAGATACATAGACATTATTAAATTTTAAAACTATATCACTATGCAGCCTTTAGGAATCATTAAGTACAGTTTAGTGTTGCCCATTCACCTTTTCCCCCCCATCCCCCTTCCCATTTCTGTTAGGAGTTTGACACGACAGCACAGACTATGCTGCTTTTACTGACATGACTTAAATGACTATAATACCGACTGTTAGATTTCCATTGTTTTTTTATTTTTAAGAAGAAAATAAGATGTACTTAACTATTTTACATATGAGATTTATTATGCTTCATGATGTAAGACAAGAAGATGGAATAAAGAACTTCTTTAGTGACGTCTATGATTTATATATAAAGGTAGGTTACATTTTGTAATTTTTAATATTTCTAAGTTTCAGACCATAGAGAGGGATATCTTGTATAACAAGATAAAACTCACAGAGGACAGGGACTATGTGTTTAAAGTTACTGTTCTCCATTAAATGTATTCTCCATGTGTTTTAAGGTTATGCATATGATGAAAACTATTAAGTTGTTTTTCATTTGTGTCCAACTCTTCATGACTGCGTTTGGGTTTTTCTTGGCAAAGCTACTGGGTTGGTTTGCCATTTCCATCTGTATCTCTTTTTACCTGATTTTGTATGATACCCAGGGTTTATCACTATAAAAGCACTGAAATGGAAGCCAGCAGGCTTTGGTGCTGGTTGTAGTTGTCATCAACTCTGGATCTCCTTGGGACAGTAATTTCATCTGTCTAGGGAACCCAGACCCCTCAATAAACTTTAGATGCTTTAAAGTCCCTTCCTGCAGTCCTGAAATTCTAGGGTTCTAGTCCACAAAGTGGAAAATTTAATTTCAAAATGAGGTACAATGAGGTAAAATGAACTGAGGCAAACAGGGTTAAGTGACTTGCCCAAGGTCACACAGCTAGTAAGTGTCTGAGGTCAGATTTGAACTTGGGAAAATGAGTCTTCCTGACTCCAGGCCTAGTGCCACTCAGCTGCCCTGCACTATTAAATAGTTAATGAAAATGAAGCATCAAAAAATAGTGAAGTTCGTTTTTGAAAATGAAATTCATAGATGTGATCTGAAAGATAGCTGTAGTGTTTAATAAGCTGCCAGTTTAATCAGCAATTTCTTGGGTTTCAAGTGAAGAACATGAAATAGGAATTCTTCATTGGGCTTCCACATAGATACTATTTTTTTTCTATTTTCATTTTGTTTGTTCTAGTAATACATACTGAAAAGTGTGCCTGATTCTTGACACATGTAGAATTTCCCATTTTGTGGATTAGAATCCTAGAATTTCAGGGCTACAGGAAGGAACTTTGGAGCATCTGAAGTTTACTGAGGGGTCTGGGTTACCTAGATAGAGGAAATTACTTTCCCAAGGAGATCCAGAGTTGATGACAGAACTACAACCAGCACCAAAGCCTGCTGGCTTCCATTTCAGTGTTTTTATAGTGATAAACCCTGGGTATCTGCAACCAGTTTTTAATTTCAGTCTAGCTTTCCCCTTACCTTTTAGTATTCTCCCTTCATCTCTTCACTGCTGTGTAGTCAGCATCAACTGTTTTTAATATTTGTTTAAACAGAATTGGGAATATAACTCATCTGTCAAACATGTTACATTTCAAAGCCAAATGTAAGTAATGGTTACCTGTACTGTTCCCTTTGTTTTAGCACATAATTGAGTTGTTTTTACTTGGAAATTTAATACAAGTTCTGGAACCAACCAGTGTAAAAAATCAAGAGTACTTTTGGGGTGGGGGAGGGAGTTGGATAGTGAAACAAAAAGAGAAGAAAAATCCATCAATAAAAACACTTTAAAATAAACAGAAGAGAGCAAGAAGGAAGTTCAGAAAGGGATACAGACGAGCAGGGCAGTTTTGTTGCTACCATACTGACATTACAATAAACTTTTTTAAAACAGACTACATAGCAAGTTCAGATTCACATCATTCCTATTTACTGTTCTTTGTATTTTGAAATGTATGTATCTGTTGATGTTTAAGTTCGTAATAAAAAATGAAGAGGGGGAACCATTTTGTAAAAATAATAGAATGTAAATTGTGAACTAACAGGAAACACTATTATATCCTAAAACAATCTAATTTCAAGTCCTGCTATCTGTTTTATTTAACATTTAAAGTAGCCTGGAAAAATTACTGAAAATCCATTGAGAAATAAACTGTTACCATAGCAAAAAGGATTGCCAGATGATTTAAAATACATTTTGTAAATTAATAGCTTATCACGCAAATTATTTAGACTATATGTGAGCTACACCATTAATCTTCATAACATCCTTCTGAGACTGGTAGGAAACAAAAATAGGAGCATGTTCCCTAGTTGTAAAGGTAGAGAATGTCAAGTTTCAGTGGTAGAGAGGGAAGAATTGAGGTTCTCTTGGATAGGATTACTAGTAAACATTAGGTTCTGTTCGCTTTTATTTTCAGACTAGACTCTTAGGGAATTTTGGTTTTTTTTGGTCCCCAGACTTTTATTGAATCTAGTAAGTTTTCATATACCTGTATGGAAGTCTTTTTTTAATGTTTGTCATCCTGATAAGTATCTTTAAAACCAATAACTGAAAACAAACCTGAACTTCTTTAAAGAGCCACAGATGTATCCTGAAGAATTATAAGATTTTAAAATTTTTTCTCCTTAAAGACTTTTATTTTGATTTATTTGTTTGCAAAAACTTATTTTTAGGCATCTTAATTTAAATTTGAAGCTGTAAGTTTTATTTTATAAACATCATATCTATAAGTCTAATACTCTTTTTCCATTCCTTAGTTTGCAATGAATCCATTTTATGAACCAAATTCACCCATTCGATCAAGTGCATTTGACAGAAAAGTTCAATTTCTTGGGAAGAAACACCTTCTAAGCTGAATACAGAAAACTTCTTAAATATGTGATGTCAGTATGTATTGTAAGAGCCAATCAAGTCTACTGTCTAGTCTTGGGTTTCTAAGCTTCTGTAAATTAACCACCTTTCTAGTTAGAAAGGCTGTAGGGCACCTTTTGTTGTCATTTTTGCAAATGATACAACCAACATAACTTGTACTTTTGAAAAATACCGTATTTATGAAGAATGTCAGATGAAGTGCCCTGACAATTATTTTGGCTTTAAAAATTGTTTAGAAGATTCTACTTTGAGTGGTTTAATATCTTAATTAAACTGTAAATTAGGCAAATGTCATATTGTTGATTTGGTTAACAGATCTTAAACTGAAATATAAAAATTGGCTCACAGTAGGAAATAAAATTTATAGCATACACATGGATCATTTATTTATAAATAAAGGCAATATTCATAGTGCTGAAGAAAAGCTTTTTTTTTGTTTGTCAAATTTTGTACTAAGCATTTATCTGAGAGCATCAAGTATCAAGCCTGGTAAGTAATACCCAGCAAACCGAAAACTTAAGAGCATGAATATAAAATTCTACCTGTAAATGAAATGAAGTGGTTGTTGAGACTAAAAGTTAAGTATGTAAACAGTACACCTTTGCATAATCTTTTATCATTGTTATGTATTTGGAATCTTGAGGATGTTTTCTTTCCTCAACAAGAATAACAAGAATAACAACTGCATTTCCTCTTGATAAATTAATTTCATACTTTTGTAAAGGTATTTGGCTTTCAGGAATAACCTGAATTAAATTAAATTTTGGCAGTTTGATAGTAAGCATATAGAGTAGGCTGTAACTAGAAAAGTTGCCTGGGGGTTTTTGCATTGTACAAAGTATGGAATCTTATTCTATAAATTGTGTTGTATTTGTAAACAGATGACATGACCATAACCCTGGAAAAGCTACAAATGTCTAGAAAATATTATTGAATACGATATAATAAAAGGGAACTTTTAAGTAACAGTTTTGAAATTTGGTCTTTTTATCTAGGATTCTGTGTGAAATTCTTGGCCACACATATATTTCCCCCTTCTCCCCACCTTGTTTTACCTAATTATGAAAACAAAATCAGCTTTTCAGAGACTGTGATCTTTCATTGCATGTAGGTTTGGTGATGGGTTTTTTTTTTCTTTTTCTGGAGATGATGCTATTTTCAGTATTTTTTAGGAACTGGGAAGTACCCAAATGTGTTGAAAGCTAATTTGGGGGATCCTTCCTCCCACACAATTCATGAGCATAGACTGATCGTTGCGTCTATATAAAGATAGATTGTAAGAATCATAGATTATTAAGAGCTGAACTATCTAGAAACTGTGCTAACTGGGCACAGTTAGTAAACTGCTGCTCAGCAATCCTTTTATTCATCTCTAATTAACTTATTACTCTCCGTGGTAACTATTCTAAATCAAGCACCCAAGGCCTACGTACCCAATATCTTACCAGATGGCATTCCTTCCTACTTTGAGAAAATTGAAGTTATCCATCCCAAACTTTTCTTCCCTTCTTTCAGACTTTTTTGTCCTTGCCTGTCCTCTCTCTCTAAGTCTCAGAGGAGGTAGTTTTCATCTTTACCACTTTAACAAGACTTCCTTTTATTATGAGTATGAATCTAATAGGCTAGCCAGTAATAAGTAATATTTATGTAGTACTTTAAAGTTTGCAAAGCGCTTCACAAATATTGTCTCATTTTGTCCTCACAACAACTCTGGGAGGTAGGTGCAGTTATTATCCCCGTTTTACAGATGACAAAACTGAGGCAAGCAGCGATCAAGTGATTTGCCCAGGGTCATACAGCTCCTAAATGTCTGCGGCAGTATTTGAACTGGAGTTTTCCTGACTCCAGATCTAGTACTCTCATCCACTGACCACACTTCCTAAGTGCATTTTTTTTTATCCCACCCTTCCCTTCCTGTCTCCTTTAGGCCATTACTCCATTGATCATTACCACTCTAATAATCAGTGTCTCCCTTTCTACTGCATCTAACCTCTTCCTACGTTTAGATGTTCTTTGAAAGAAGCTAGCAATTCTGAGTTGGAGGTAAAGAGAGGGCACATTCCAGGCACAGGGATTAACAGCTAATAGCCTGTGCAAAAATGCCAAAACGAGGAATGACTGTCATTTACCAGAAACAAGGAAGAGGTTGGTTTAACAGGATCATACTACAAGTGTCACAGGAATTCAAGAGAACTATTGCAGAACTGTAACAGACGGAAAATATTTCATGGGGGAAATAGAAATTGAATAAAACATTCAACATGAAACTGCTTCAGTTTAAAAAGGGGAGTGCATCCTAGTTCAGGAAAACAACATGAACAAAGGCAGACTGAGAAATAGTATTCACTGAATAGACCATTTTTTCTTGAATTGACCATTTTTAAAGGCCCTGTTGTGCCTTAGGTGAGACATAATGTTGTGTAACGTGTAGAGGTAGAGGCCTACAAGTGCAGAATGTTGTATATGCTGTCAAAATTGCCATGTTTTTGTTTTCTACTTTTCCATAATTCTTTTGTTGTTACATTGGACAGTTTACAAGGGAATATTTTGGGGAATGGGTGTGTAAAAATTTAAAGGTGTCAATAAAGAATAATTTGGGTTCCAGTGTTTCAGGAAGGCAAAACCTCCAATTCTTAGTCATCATCAGAAATTAATGACAGACACTTCTACAGATAGGATAGACACCAGAACATGATTTTCTACAAACACTTTATTGTTGTCATTTCAGTTGCGTCTGACTCGACCCCATTTTTGGAGTTTTCTTGGCAAGGATACTAGAGTGGTTTACCATTTCCTTCTCCAGCTTGACAAATACAGTTAAGTGATTTGCCTAGGGTCACATAGCTAGTAAGTGTCTGAAGGCCAAATTTGAACTCAAGTCTTACTGACTCCAGGTGTGGCAATCTAACCACTGCACCACCTGGCTGCCTTGAGTGGGAACAGGTGCTGTTAAAAATTGAACTTTTGAGCCTTTCATTGACAACTCATTGAAAGTTAGAACTGTTCCCTGACCTTTTAAGACTGAATCTTCAAAGAATAGGAATTTGATCAAACTGGTTAGACTGGTTGCATCAGATTCATTTATTTATTTATTTTAACTTTCAACCTGTCTACTTCACTAGAAGATTGGAACCCTATGGTAAACAATTCTGTTGTGTTGCTGTTGTAGCTATAAGACTATGGTACACTCTTAATATGTCTCAGCTGTTCACCGTAAAATGCAGTAAACTGAATGTCCCATTTCCTCATTCCTTTTCCTCCCTCCCCCCAAAGTTATTGGTGAACAACAGTGAATTATTGAAAGATTTATAAAGCAGTTCTCACACTGTTCATTCACTGCCATCTCTGATCTGTCACTTTTCTTCTCTTTCATTTTTTTTTTCACTTATTCTCCCATGCTCTCAGCTTTCATGTGAAAAGGTTGGCATTTTACAAACATTTCTTCAGCCTTCTGTGTTCCTTGGCTACTAGATGGCTATTAAGGGGTTGCTCTACCACCAAAAAAAAAAAAGCCCTTTTTAGGGATTTTCCCCAGCTATTTCCAAGTACAAAGCCGTCCTTGATGTCCTTTTGGGGCTCCTGAGGTTATCTGCTAGTTCCTGGATTTACTGAACTAGCCTGTGTTCAACAATTCCAAACCCTTATTATTGATCCTGTTTTAACTCTGAGCCAGACTTCAGAGACCTTAATTAGTAGAAAGACTACGAGACTAGGACTCAAAAAGATCTAGGTCACCCTACACTGGTCATTTACTAGCCTTGTGACCTTAGAAATACAGATCTGAAGCTAGAATTGGACTTTTAGTGATTTTTTAAAAAACTGACATCCAAAGACATATCTTAGCCCGTGGTTACACAGATTAATTCAGAAATGAACAGAGCCTCAATTGAGAGGCAGGCCATTTTCTGGCTCAAGCATTCTTTATGCTGCAGGCATTACAAGCATCTTTGGGATTTAGCATTTGTAAAATGGATATGCTACCATCTGGCCCACCTCCTTTATAGGGTTACTATCAGAATTAAATAAGATGTGATCATTTGCCATGAGCACTCACATTGCAAGTCTATTACTTGTCATCATTCCCCATTTTTTCCTTTACTTCAGGAAAAAAAAGACATGGGCCACTTCACTAAGATCAAACCCTATGCTTGCTCTTTTATCTCATAGCCTCCCAATAATTCTGTCTTATCTCCCCTCTTCAATTCATCTTCCGTGGAGTTGCCAAACATTCCACTGATAAAATAGTTGAGATTAATTTCAATAAATTTTAACATCTCCTCAACTATTAAAAAAAATACATGATGCTGAGTGAAGTGAGCAGAACCAAGAGGACTTTGTATACAATAACAGCCACGTTATGCAATGACTAAGATTGTTAAACTGAACCCTTCTCAGCATTACGAGGACCTAAGACATCTCCAGAGGCTTCAGGATGGAAAATGCTGTCCACATCCAAAGAAAGAACTATGGAAGTTGAATCGCTATCACTTATTTTTACCTTCTATTGAGTTTTGTTTCATCTTTCTGATGGTTCCTCCTATTGGTTTTAATTTTTACTTACAACTTCACTAATGTGAAAACATGTTTAATGGGTATGTAAATGTAAAGTCTATATCAGATTGTGTGCCGTCTTGGGAAAGGTGGGGGGGAGGAAGGGGGAGAAAAAATTTCAACTCGAAAGCATATGGAAGTGATTGTTGATAAATCAAAATAAATTAATAAATTTAAAAAAAAGAAAAAAATACACTACTGGATACCACGTGATAAAATTCATTGGCATTTTGACACATTTTTCCATTTAATCATTCTTCATAAGCAATGTTCAAAATGTTCTGAATAGTATGATGATTAAAAAAACTGTATAGAGCTTTATGTAAGAATGATTGGCATGGTGAGAGCAAACTCCCCTCCTTGGGAAAAGGGCACTACCATGACAGTGAAATCTGAGGTTACTTTGAGGGGAATCATCACCACCAACCCCTTCCCACATTATCAATCTGGGAAAGTGACTGCCCTAGTTGCAACTCTGATAAAAAGGAAGGATGTGACAATGGGAAAGAAGGGTGTGGATTCAGCATCTCAAAACTTGGTTAGAGTAGCAAGTTTGTCTTTTACTAGGCTTTATCACCTTAAGAAAGTCAGCCCTTCCAAAGCTTTAGTTTCCTCATCTATAAAATGCGGATACTTGAATACCTCCCTCAGAAGAATACTGTGAGAATGAAATGAAAATGATATATAAAATGCTTGGTAAATTTTTATAAATGTCAGATGTTTTTCCAGGATAATTTAATGAGGGGGACACAATCTAAGCACAATTAAATATATACTACTTGTTAAAAGCATTCTTCTCAGATTAAGATAGTTAAAACTGTATATATTACAGAACATAAGAGTCCTTTATATAGTCAGATTTATTTGCTGGGGGAAGGGGTAGTCAGCAGGGAAAGAGGGATAGAGATAGCAGTCAAGATTATCAGAATATACACAACTAAAATTTTAACTCCTCAAATTTAAATTTAGATCATTTTAGAATGGCAGGAGAAGCAAATCCTGAAAACTCGCATTTCTTAAAGAAAATCTTGTTTCACTGTAATGTCACTGTTTGCATTTTGGTTCTTATTACACTGAAACATATAGTATATTTGTTCTTAATAGAATTGTTTCACAAAAGCTACATCTCAGCTCTCTCTCCCTTAAAGTTGGGGCAAAATGTCCTTGACTACAGCACTAAACAGTCAATGAGAATGTGCTGCTGAATAAATGCAATTCTGACTTATTTAAAAATGAGTACTTCTGGTTTTACAAAACAACAAAGACTATCAGAGATGGCTACATTTCCAGATACTTTATAAGAATATTCTTTTTTCTTTTTAAAAGTCAATCAGTACTAACATCTGAGAGTAAAAAATCAGCTCTAGCCCAAGTTTCTGCCTTATATCAATCAACTACATTCTACTCTTACAAATCAGATATAAAGTTAAATAATTTCATGTAACATGAAGTATCACTCAAGTCCAAAGTAATTTTGTGATTTAAATCTTTAATATTAAGCATTTTTAAAATGTGCTTTCAGTGAACCAATAATGAAATGCTAATTTTGTAAAAATATATACATACAAAAATGTGTTCTCCTTTTGAATTTTAGGGGAAAAAACAACCCAAGTAGTGCTTCTAGAAATTCAAGTTTTCATTTTAATTATTCATTTGATTTATTATTAGCTCTGTAAGTTACACATTAAAATTTAAGTAACCATTTGTTATTAGAGACACCTTTATAAATGTTACGTGCCTTTGGTAAAGGGTTACTCAATGAATGGCTATTTCCCTTCCACCTTCTAATGAAGCAGCAGTATAGATTAGTTTAAATTTTATTATTAGAACTGGACTTGCTGGACCCTTTATTTTATCATCATCTTCCTCCCATTTCCCCTGCCCCGTTTTGTAAAAGAGTTGGTTACAGCTATATTGGCAAAGCTTTTTAATAGTCAGCAACAAGATGAACTGGGCTTAGGCTTTCGGTGAAGATTGACTGTATCCGTCTGAATAAAGTGATCTGACCTATCCTCAGTAGCAAGAATTCTTCTAACAGCTTCCTCAAAAGCTGCTGCAACATTTGTGGCATCTTTTGCACTTGTTTCAAAGTAAGGATAGTTGCCGTTGTCCCTGCACCAGGCCTGAGCTTCTTCTGTAGAAACCTGTCTTTCACTTATGTCAATCTTGTTACCCAAAATCACAAAAGGAAAGCTTTCAGGCTCTTTGACATCTGCATAATAAATGAATTCTTTCTTCCAGTTGGCCAAGTTCTGGAAACTTTGAGAGTCATCTACACTGAAAGTAAGAAGGCAACAGTCAGAACCTCTGTAAAATGGTGTTCGCAGGCTTCTAAAGCGTTCTTGACCGGCTGTGTCCCAAATCTGCATAGTAACAAAGTGTCCATCCACTTCCAAGTCTTTATTTAAAAATTCCACCCCTATTGTGTGGAATAACTGGCTCTCAAATTTGTTAGTGACATATCTATTCATAAGAGAGCTCTTCCCAACGCCACCATCTCCAAGGAGAATTACTTTAAAAAGTGATGATTTTCCTGCCATTGTTGAATGAAATATCTTTTTACTCCAAAATTCTACAAAATAAAAAGAGAACAATCATTACTAAATCTTTTCATTCCTGTTCAAATTCTCAATTTTTTTTACACAAATATCAAGATACATTATTAGAGTACTACACTCAGAGAAAATACACTTTTTGCATTATCAGCTATGAATGCCTAAGAAGTGAGAGCCTCTACTCTCTCCATTCTTGGAGCAAGGGCTGGGACATCTACTTGTCATATATGTTATAAAAGGGATTCCTTTTGGGTATGGATTAGATGAGATGGCCACTGAGGTCCCACTTCTAACTCTCAAATTCTGTGACTCTTTAAATAAACTGTCCGAAGGGAAGATTATAGACTTCTCAGTTAAACTACCTCCCAGGATCCTGCTTAGGATTCACTTGTGTGCAGCACTTTCCTCACGTCATTCTGGTAGTACAAAGACTATTATACCCACTTTACAGATGAAACTGAAAGCTAGAAAGGTGAAGTGATGTGCCCATGGTCACAAAGGTAGCATCTGGCTGGGTTTCCTTCATATAACATACTCTTGAGCTAATTAAAATTACTCTGAGTAGCATTCTAATAGAGAAGAGAATTCACCTGTAAATACTAGGAACAGGAACTTTAAGCCAGGACTCCTGATTCCCAAGTTCAATGCTCCTTCCACTATACACTACACTATACTATACTAGTCCATAAGTAAAACTTTATTACAAAATTAACAAAATCAATATATAATTATGTTCAAGACAAAGAGTCTTTTTTGCATGTCTGAATGTCACTTTATAAATGTAAGATTTTCCAACAAATTTAAAAGATTTCCTTGGTCAATACACAAAGATTGATAATGTAACAAACTCTCTCCCCTTTAACAGAAATGTGAAATTTTCCTAATTTCCCAAATTTTAGAACCGAATCAAAACAGCAGTAGGCTATAGTCTGAAAAACAAGCAAATGTGATTTAGCTAATTTCACCTGATGTCAGACAAGAAGAAGTTAACCACTAAGGGAATGAATTTAACTATCCGAAGTGCTAAACTATTTTCAAATTACTTTGGACAGTAGTCTTAATTCAACAATATACAGGACTCAGAAGTTAGATCGTCCATGTTATATACAAACATGCTGAGAACTGACCTATCCAACAAATTGGCTGTGCCATGAATGAAGCAGAATGGTTGAAAAGGCAGAAAGTAAATTAATGCAGCTAAATGGCACAGTGAATAGAGTGCAAGACCTACAGTCAGGAAGACCTGAGTTCAAATTTATCCTCCGACCCTTACTAGCTGTGTGACCCTGGACAAGTCACTGGACCCTGTGTGCCTCAGTTTCCTCATCTGTAAAATGAGCTAAAGAAGGAAATGGCAAACCACTCCAGTATCTTTGCCAAGAAAACCCCATTTATAAAAGGGGTCACAAAGAGCCAGACACAACTAAAAATGACTAAATAACAAAAGTAAGTTGAAAATATAAATTTGTTAGCTGACAGTTTGTTATTTTATTGGGAAAATTGTAGGTAAGATGGGGATGTGTACTTTTGTGATGTTTGGTGTAGTCTGCATTTGGAAAAAGACTGTTCTCTTTATATGCAATATTCATATTTAATATTTAATGGATCCATAATTTTATTAGAACAGGTTCAATGCAGATCACAACTCTGTAACTTAGTACCTAGTCTTCTCTATTCAACATAATTGCTACATTTCAGTGCATATCTTTTAAATATTTTTCCTGAGGAAGCTACACACAGTGCAACCATAGTGTGCTTTAAAGAGATGGAAAAAAATATTTACCTGGGCAAGAAAGTTTCTTTTCTGCACCCCTAGGTCCCCTATAGTGCAACGGTCATTTTCTAAGCAAAGGGGCCCCACTAACTCCTTCAGTGTGATCCACAAAATTCTGCCATGAGAAAGCGTAAAGGCTCTAAATTCAGAAGCAAATGAAGGTACGTTAATTCACCACTGCATAGCACTTTTTAGATTTATGACACTCTTTCCTCACAAAAACCACTTTAGATATAGTGTATTGTATCAACCCCAATTGACAAACAAGGAACTATAGCTCAGAGACTATTGATGCATGATCCCACAGCTATTAAATATCAAGAGTCAGAATTCGAAGCCACGTCTCCTAACTCAAATCCTACATCCCTGCCATCTTGCTAACGCTGGAATAGAACTTTTCATGGAAAAGCTTCAACTGTTGCTCTAGAATAAAGGCAATTATAGGTATGCCCTCATATTCCAAAATCAGAGGACTTGAGTGATTCATACTAGGGAAGTAACTTAAGGAGCCTACCCTTATCTACAAAATGAGGAGTTTCAATTAAATACTGTCTAAGGTCCCTTCCAGCTCTCAATCTCTGATGTTTTGATCTCTGAAAGAACAGAATCCCTGACCACTGCAAATTAACATGGGGTAAGTAAAACATCAATAGTAGATGACAGAGAATCCACCAAATCATCTAAATGTTCTTGCTTTTGGGTACACCCTTCTGAGAATGAGTATGCTTTAACATAGGGAGCAGTCTCCATTTGTCCTGATCTATGTCTTGCCCATGGGCTCAAATGGCTGGAGGAGAGAGTGAGGCTGGTGACTTTGCACAGCCATCTCACTTAACTCCAATTCACTTTCACGTCAAGATATCACCCTTCTGACATCATTGGTCCTCTTCGAATGAAGGACTAAAAACAATGGACAATGCTTCACATACCAAAACAAGGCATGTATAAAAATAGCCTGAGAAGCATAGAAGCATTGTAGAAACCAGACCTCAACCCCAGATAGCAGAGGCTAGCCTAAAATTTATTGTTTTCTCAAGCTATAACTAGAAATAGCTGACATTTACATGGTACTTTAAGGGTTTACAAAGTGTTTTCTCCCCACAAACCTGTGAAGCAGGTAGATAAAGGATTATTATTCCCTATTTTACAAATGATATAAAAAAGTTTTAAACTGTGAATTTTGTTCACCATTCATTCCTTTTACGTTTTTTTCCCAGGGTTGGCACAACCAAGAACTCATCTCCTAGTGGCCAACTTACTGGGTAATGGGCAGAATTCTCTGTAGTTAGCCAGGACGGTTCTAGTCAGAAAGTCTGTTGCTGGGGGGCAGTCAAAACACATTTACTGAATTGTAACAATAATCTACTGAATCTTTTTTTCCCTACTTTTTTTTTTTTGGCAACATGGCTAATGTGTGAAAATAAATTTTGCAGTGTGTGAAAATAAATTTTGCAGTGACTTCATACGTGTAATATATATCATATTTCTTCTTGCCTTTTCTATGGGAAAGGAAGGGAGGAGATGGAGAAAGGCAGAATTTGGAACTGTAAATAAACTTCTTAAAATTTATTAAGCACTTACTATAAGCCCTGCAAAATACTGTGCTGCATACTGGGAATACAAAAAGATAAAAAATCAGTCCCTGCCTTCAAGCAGCTTACATTCTAATGGGGGATTCAACATGTAAATGATTATATTAGATAGATAGAACTGATGAAGGTAATCTGAAAGGGGAAAGCATTCCATTCACCTGGGGGGGACCAGGAAAGACATTCTGCAAAAGGTGAGATCTCAGCTGAGTTTTGAAGGAAGCCAGGGAAAACTAAAAGGCTGAGGTCCTCGCCAGAGTAAAGCACTCCAGGCATGGAGGGCAGCCAACACAAAGGTACAGAGACAGAAGGTGGAGAGGTGTGTTCTAGGAACTGCAAGGAGGCCAGTATAAGTTATATAAGTAGGCTTCAAAATACATAATAAGGAGGCTTGTAAAGGTAGGAATAGGCCAGGGTGTAAAAACCTTTAAATACCAAAGGAGATTATATTTGATCCTGGCTGTGATGAGGAAGCCACTGGAAGGAGTAGAGGGAGGAGGAGTGTTGAGAAAGCTGTGTGACATGGTCACACCCATGTTTTAGAAAAATCACCTTAGCAAACAGGAGGTGGATATATCAGAGTATCAAAGAGACTTGAGGGAGACCGTTAGAAGCCTTGAACTTAGATGGATATATGAGTGGTGAGAAGGGGGTATATAAATGTCCAGATAACTGAAATAAGATTTGATAACAAACTGGAAATGTAGGGTGAGTGTCAAGTTGAGGATGATAGTGAGTTTTTAAGCCTCCATAACTGGGAAGACGGTGGCACCCTCAACAGGGAAGTTTAAAAGACAGGAGAGTTTTGAGGGACATTCTGAGTCCTGTTTTGGATATGCTTAGTTTCAGATACACATGGGACATCCAGTTTGACACGTCCAAGAGGCAGATGGATGTCTGACTGTAGCTCAGCAGAGACTAAGACTGAATATAGAGATCTAGGAATCATTTGCATAGAGATGATAATTTAACTCATGGAAGTTTATGAGATCACTGTGTTAGCAAAAATTATCGAGGTCTTTCCACACTGTTCTGGAAACACACTAGGCACAATGTGGTCAAATGGTTAACTGAAAAATTCTGTAGTCTGAGCTCTACCAGTTGAAGCACAAAGGACTGAGTTAGGGAGCTTCTTGGGTTAACAAGTTCCATCTCTATCACTCTACTACCTAGTACATGACTTAAAGCAAATTACTTCTCTAAACCCCAGACTCCTCATCTGTAAAATGAAGGGATCTGCCATCCTCCTCAAAGTTAAAGTTATCCTCCACTTCATCTCCCTCACAGCCAAGTACCTAGTCTTGTCCATTCTACATCCAAAACTTGTCTTAGAATTATTTTTTCTCCTATACTTAAAATGCCACCAACTTTCCTTCAGTTTCTTATTATCTTTTGTCAAACACATTTAATAGCCTCCTATTTGATCTCCCTGCCACTAATGTCTTCATATGACTTCAAAAATTTTCCTAAAGCACAGTTCTGACCATGTCCTTCCCTGATCAAAAACCTTCCACAGTTCCCTTTGCCTCTAGGATAAAATACAAACTCTTCATCCTAATATTTAAGGCCCTCCACAATTTGGTTCCATTCTACCATTACAGCCTTATTACACATGGTCCTTTCTAGATTTTAATCTAATTCTACAGTTCAACAGTTTCTTCCTATCTTCTTCCCCTGTGCAATTATTCACACAACTGGCAGCTACTTCCCCTGAGCTCTTGACCAACTTATCCTGGATTACTTTAAGCTCCCTTCTTTTCCCTAAACCAGTTTTCTTTAAAAGTTCCATTGGTTCCGCACAATTTCATAAGATCTCCTCACTCCAACACTACTATAATGTCATCAGCCCATCTAGTTTCCATGCTGCCCAGCCCCCAAGTGCTGCATGGATTCATGCCCCTATTGCTACATATATCTACATGTTAAAAACAAATGCCAACTTTTCCTAGACAATTCCCACAATCTTCTATTAAACATTTTATAATAATTAAGGTCTCATATTTACATTTAAAAACTTTCAAAATATCACTATCCGGGGGATATTTTTCCACACAGCCATTTTTTAGTACAATGGAACTCATATGTGATGTAACTGTCAAGGGGTCAAGGCTATTACCTGAATGTTTTATCGAGCTTTTGCTGTGTAGAACCTAGGTGTGCAATTTTGACATGTGCAATATCCAGGGCTATGTAACAGTGAGTTCAAATTGAGATTCCTTCTCTATTAGAAAAACTAATAAATCACACAACTTCAAATCATTAACCTTTTTTTGTTTTTTTTTTGGTGAGGCAATTGGGATTAAGTGATTTCCCCAAAGTCACACAGTTAGTGTCATGTGTCTGAGGCCAAATTTGAACTCAGGTCCTCCTGACTCCCAGGGCCAGTGTTCTATCCACTGTGCCACCTAGCTGCCCCCAATCAGTAACCTTCTTGCCCAATTATGTTTAAGTCTTATTTGTATGTATTGTTAAAAAAGTTGTTGCTTAATGACTAAAATGGAGCTAACACACCCAAAGGTAGTTTAATTACTATAACATGAACAAAGAATCCCTAATTAATGCTTTTACCCAGAATCAGTAAATATGAAAACAATTTTTGTAACTCATATTTATACAGCATTTTTACAATTTAAAAAGAAGCTTGTCAACTTACCTCTCCTTACTAAGTAGGAACTTTTATAGTAATGTGAAACCTTTACCCACCAATTGGGCAAGAAACTGCAGTCTAAATCCTAAAGGGATGAAAAACCAGGGCAGATTTCCCAGACCAAAGGGGAGCCTGTTGTTCTGATATTCTGAATCTGCAGAACTTTCCAGCTGGCTGACAGTGGCTGAATCTAGTAACAGCCTATTGGAACTTAAACCAAAGTAAGCCCAAAGGTGTGGGCTCTGACCCAAACCCAGGTCAAAAGCTTGCGAAGGTCAAACCAAGAGAGCAATGATCAGACTTTGATATAGAGCAGATCACTATGGCAGCAGAGAAAGCTTTCAGGTTCCCAGCCTGAACTGTCCCTGAGATACTGAAAAAACACAATACTCAATAATGCAAGACAAAAGCAACAGGACCAACTCAGACATTCCCTCCAAAAGTGCACAGAGACAGGCCATAACATCAAATCCTAGTCAGTAAATAAGATGGAAGAATGAACAAACAAAAAAAGAATCCCACTGTAAAAGTTATAGTGATGGACACAAATCCAGGGGGGAAAAGAAAAAAAAAAGAATGACTACATTATTATAAGCAAAGCCTCCCAGAAAAACACAGTTTGGGCAAGTTTGGAATTCCTAGAGAAGAAAAAGCAAGAGTTCTGTTTGTTTTTAAATGAGCTATAAAACAATTTTCTAAATCAAATGACAGCAACAGGAGAAACCATGAGAAATGAAAGCTATGTAAAAAGAGAGAATTAACAGCTTGGAACAAGAAGTAGAAAACCTTATCCAAGCAACAAACTTCCTGAAAATTATGGACCAAATGGAAAATTCTGACTCCATAAGACAATAAGAAATATTAAAATACATTCAAAAGACCAGAAAAAAAAGAAAATAGAAGAAAATGTAATCTCATTATCTGAAACTAACCTTGATGATAGATTAAGGAGAAAAAAAATTTAAGAATCATTAGACTCTGAAAACCATGACCAAAAAAAGAGCCTAGACATCACATTTCAAAAACTCTTAAAATTTCCAGATTCTTAGAACCAGAGGGCAAAGTAGAAACAAGAAGAATCCACTGTTTACCTCCTGAAAGAAATCCCAAAATGAAACCTCTCTCAAGAACATTTTAGCAAAAATCTAAAGCTTCCAGGTAAAGGAAAAAAAAATACTGCAAGCTACCAGAAAGAATTCAAATACCAAGGAGCAGCACACCCAGAATCACATAATGTTTAGCAACTACCACCATAACAGAAAGCTCGGAATACAATATTCCCAAAGGCTTAAAACCAAGAATTACTTACCCAGGAAAACTAAGTATAATTCTAATGGGAAGGAAACACAGTATTAATGAAATAGAGAGCTTCCAACCATTCCCAGTGAAAAGACTAAAGCTGCATAGAAACTCTGAAATACAAATACAAAAGGAAAAAAAAATACAGATAAGCATGAATGAACAATCATTGGGGACTAAACAAGGATAAAGTATATTCTTATATGAAGAAATAATACATATATCCTGATACTCTCAAAACTCTATTATCATGAGAGGTCAAAGAGTCTAATTAGACAAAAAGCCTGGGAATGGTTCTGTTATGTTCTGATGACCACAGAAAAATGCAAAGGGGGGGGTAAGAAGGTGAGGAAGGAAGACTAGGGAAAATTATCTCACATAATTAGAGTATACAAGTAGAAGTCTACACAAACGCAGAGGAAAGGGAGAGCAGGCAACTCTTGAACCTCACTGTCATCTGAAATGGTCAAAGGGAGGAATACACAGAACACAGTTGGGTATTTCACTCAGGGAAACAGGAAGGAAGAGAAAGGAAAGGGAAGAACAAAGGGGGTAGGGATTAGTTTCTAAGCAAAATAAACTCAAGGAGGGTGAATTTCAAAGAGGGGTTTCAGAAAGAATAAGAACCTGTTATTGGGCTGAGGCAGAAGAAAAGAGAAGAGGGGCAGAGGAGCAGAAGCAGATTATACTAAACCTAGAACCCTGGTACTACTCACTCTGATCTTACCGCTCTTTTCTTTGTAAAGAGAAAAAAAAAGTACAAGAGAATAGAATGGAGGGAAATTCACAATTAACAATTACAACTATGAATGGGAATATGGTGAACTCATCCAAGAATAGATTAGAAAGCAGAATCCAACAATATGCTATTTACAAGAAACATACCTGAACCAGAAAGATGCAAAAAGAATTAAAATAAGAGACTGGAGCACAATCTTTTTATGCTTCAAGTGAACTAAAAATAGGGCAGAGGTAGCAACCAAGATATCAAATAAAGCAATATCAAAAACAAACAAAAAAGACAGAGTAGTACCACACTGTGCTGAAAGGTACCAAAAACAATGAATTAATGTCAATATTAAATAGACACACACATACACATACACACAATGTCCAAGGCAAAGAGTTTTGACTATAACAAATGAGGCATGAAATCACAAATCTGACATTTTAAAAGAGCTAAAAGCCATAAACCACTTAAGTTTGTTAAATCATTAAAAATGATGAAATATGTAAGATAAAATTTATAAAAAACAATTGATATGTTTCAAGTTTCTAACTTACGAGCACTTGTCCCAACACTTAATAGCCATGATATCTTGGGTAAGATACAAATCTCAGTTTTTCCATTTACAAAATAGAAATGATCATATGCACTACTGATGTTGGAGGGTTACTATTTTGTAGCCTTAAAGCATTATGTAAATTGTTACTATTTATCTGGCTTTATCTAAAAAAAAAAAAAAAACGGAGTTGGGTATCTGTTGAGGATATAGTATCATATTATTAAATTACAACAGACACTAAAGAAATATTTAAAGAACTGAATTATGATGTGCTTTCAAGTCTTTTTAAAGAAAATTAATAAACCTCTTATAATTTAATAAATTAATCTTACAAAGTCATATATCAACATCTATAGCTAAAACTGTAAAAATTTAATACAGGGTACACAAACTGAGTATTTTTTCCCAAAGAATTTCCAACTCACAGAAATCCCCTCAAGTTTTACAAAAAGCTTTGTTAAATTTACAGAAATACATTTTTAAAGTTTCACCTTCTAATAATTTTTACTTTTGCAACTGAACTGGGTTGTAGAAATAATCAAGCAAATTTTTAAGAAAAATATGAAGTTGTAAATTTTACCTTAAAGTGTTCAATTTAAGTACATCATCTGCATTACCAACATTGTTCTGCAAAGGAAAAAGAAAGCCTTACTTAGTAATGTATGTTCACTGTACTGTCAGAATATGGGTAGAATGTATAATAAACCAATTTTATATTTTCTAAGAACATACTAACTTATAACTTGCTAGATTCTTTAGTAGCACAGAAAAGAAAATCCGCGTGCAAAAACTTTCATCAGAATATCATAAATTTAAATTGAACAGGGCTTTAAGACGTTCCCCAGTCATTATAATTCTATCACAGAATGGCTTACAGGTTCTCTTCGGAAAGGCAAATAAGGAAATTGGCTTCATTTTGAACTTAACGGCAATAATAAGCATTAGCTGGGACACACTGTGATCTTGATTTGATTATATTCATTGTAAACATAGCAAAAAATCACTAAGAAAAAGTCACAGCCCATGTGCCAACATCTGTTGCAAAGGGAGGAAAAATAAGGAAATTTTGTGAATAACTTGATCGATTAAGTTAGCAATTTTTTGACACTTGGTGACAGCAAGGATAGCAAAATTATGTTGGATAATATAGACAAAGACCAAGAAATGAAAGAGGACAGATATATGGAGATTATGCTTCTAACATCACGAATACTTTTTTCAACAACAGCGCTGAAGGGCAAAATATAGCACAAAAAGTAACACTGACTACTGCTTCATATAATGTCTAATTACTAACTTAAGAATCAGATAGCTCTACGCCAACAAAACGTTAGAGTAAGAGCAAGTTAGAAAGGAAGACAATTTGAAAATGATATTACTTATAAATTACAACTAAGCCTACCTGTTTAAATAAGTTAACGATTCCCAAAAGTGGGAAACAGAAAACCTAATGATGTTATCAACTATCTTTTCTCAAGGTTTTAAAATTTTTTATTATTTCTAACAATCTTTTCAAAAATTTTGAGTTCCAAATTCTCTCCCTCCCCTCCCCCACCACTGAGAAGGCAAGTAATATATCAATTAAACTTCTTTAAGAAATGTCAGGCATGACATCAAGGCCAAAAGAACCCATAAACCACCTCAATCGGCAACCAGGTGTGCTTGCTAAGCAGAGAGACATGGCAGCCATGGAGAGTGGTTTGTAGTATATGGTGATTTACAAAATAGGGAGGAAGAGCTGAGGTATCACAGCAATATCAACTCACAAAACTTCAAAAAGCAGAGGAGAGGAAAACGAACTTTTAAAGATCTTAGTATGAGTCCAAACTAAACCAAATCATACCAATGAAATTTGGAGATGAAATCCAAAGGACAAAAAAAATTGAGGTTAAATGAAACTGATCTACTGGTGTTTCTACAGTGATCTACTCATCAGTAAAAATAATGGATAGAATTGCCACAATGGATCTAATATATAAGTGAGAAAGTGGCAATGGCATTTAATAAAATAAAGTCAGGGAAAAGCAAGGAGAACTGAACAGAAGAAAGCTTTGCAAGAGAAGATCCAATTTTTTAAATTTTTTTTTCAATTAAGTATTTATTTTTTCTTCTTCTCATTCCCTCTCCCTGCCCCCAAGAAAAACTAGATGGAATAAAAAAGTTTACCTCACTCTTGTAACAAATATTATTCAACCAAACAAATTCTCATTCTGGCCATTCCCCAAAATGTGTGCCATTCTGCATATTTAGTTCACCACCTCTCTCCCAAGAGGTGGGCAACATTTATCATTATTTCTCTAGCATCATGGTCTTGTTCATTTTTATAATATTACTATAGTATAAATTGTTTTCCTAGTTCTACTTACTTCACTTCTGCTCTAGGTGAAGTGAGAAAAGAACAGAGGTGCAAATACTTGATTCTATGTCCATGATCCAGAACATTGTACTATCTTCTATTTGTATTTTCCTCACATGTGGTTCTTTATTTAGACTAGTAGATTATTAAAACTAAAGCCATCTTAGTGATCACCTAATTCAAACTCCTCCTTTTACAGAAGAAAACAAGCTCTAGAAAGGTTAAGTAATTTTCCCAGCATCATAAATATGGGGATTCAAAAATCAGGTTTCCTGACTCCAAAAGCAGTATTTATTCCAGTATAAAAGGTTCATTTAAATAAATAAATAAATGAATATATATATATATATACATATATATATACATATATATATATACATATATATACACACACACATACATACTCATACACACACACACACACACATGTGTGCGTGCTCATGTATATATTGTTGGACAAGTAAACACACCAACCATGCCAATTCTTAGAAAAGAGACACAGGAGGGCTTCTAGCACCTCTCTCAACTAGCAGGTTTGCTTTTGATCTGGTCATACGGGAAGACAGGAATGGAGTTATAATACAAGTTAAATAAGCTTACTTTATTCTAGTCTAGTCTTCTCAAAGGGAGTTTGCTGATAACAGGAGCACCAACTCCTCCTACAGCATTCCCTAACAACCCTTCTCAGGAGGCGACTACCCCTTGTTTCGATGGGGTCAATCAAAATCACCACAGCTTGTGCTCTCTTGTAAATCCCCTCAAGCCTCAATGGGGGCTGGCTGAGGCAAACACAGATTCCTTCTCCCAAGTCTTGATGGGGCCAATTAAAGCATGAACAGCATTAAGCCTGCACATTTACCCCTATGGTGATCCCCACTCACTGACTAGTGCCCACTTGCTTTATAGGGCAACAAAGAAAGTATATTGCCAGCAACAGCCTCACAATTTTACATCACTTCAGCCCTATACTTCGACTTTGAAGTAGAAACTGTTTTGAACCATGATCATGAGAACTCATATCTAACACCTGGGAAGTAGAGATTGTTATGGCTATGGATCCAGGGAAGAAAATTCTAAGAAAGAATAACAAAAAATCTACTTTACACACACACAAATTCACCTTACTTACACACACACAAACACACACATACATATACATATGTGTTTTTATATATGTGTGTGTGAATGTGTGTATGAAGGACTCTGAAGTTATTAACTTGGAAAATACAGATACCCAAAATAACAAATGTTCTGTACCTGTTCATTGTTGTAGTGAAAAAGATGAGAATTTGGTTATTCAATCCTATTCCTTTTCTCATTTCTTTACCTCAGCTTATTTATTTATTTAGATGCTCCTTTCTACACATTTCTTCAAAGGCAAATTGGTTTGTACATCCAAAGTCTGATGAGAATCATTTTACAAATAAGCATTACTAATTACAAAAGGGAATTAGCTAGTAAGAAACAATTAACCTGTTACCAAAGTGAGTGGAATGACAGCATTATCTTCCATTGCCATAGTTAACTAAAAAGCTGCCAAACTGAAAGTGTAGTTGTGTTTAAAAACTGCCTTTCCAAATGGTTCAAATTTTTAAGCAGCACACTTTCACTACCGCATTTCCAAAAACTTAAACTGAAAATAACACCTCCAATTTAAATTTAGCAATAGATAAAAGTAACATTCTTTAGAGTTATAGTCTGCACAAATGTATGGCTAATCCTCAATACTGAGGGAAATATTTTTTGTTATTATATAATCCTTTTATGGCTTCTAACTCCTGAAACACAGATTTTAATTAGTCAACTTTTATCATCTAATACCCATTTCTGTGGGAAGAGGAGAATAATCCAAATACACAGTATTCCAAAAATCTTAGTGCAGTTTTAAGCTATGAAAGCTATATTTACTTTTATATTTGGGGTATATTTTCACATTTCCATTTGGATGGAGGTTTGTTTAATTAGCTTGGTAGTGACCACCACATAATAGATGCTTAAGAAATGTTCCATCAGATGTATTTGAAATTCATTTGAGAAATGAAGCCACCAGATGAAGACCTAGGAAAGCACAAGTCTGGGTCTGATAAGCTTTCCAGGGATGGGGAACCCTCGGCCTTGAGGCCACATGTGGCCTTCTTGGTCCTTGGGTGTGCCCTTTTGACTGAGTCCAAATTTTACAGAACAAATCCTTTTATTAAGGGGATTTGTTCTGTGAAGACTGGATTCAGTCAAAGGCCCTATCTTATCCCCTGTCAAATCTCTCCCTATAATATGTTTCATGTGGAAAAGACGATACTGTTCAGACAGACATAAAAAAGAAAGCTCAAATATTAATAAGCAAATAAGTAAAAGAGGTACTATATCAAACTTAAAGACTTATCAGATAAATTATAATTAACATGCCCAAAGAACTGACTGTAAATTAGTTTAAATGTATCTGGAAAACTGCTATTTTAAGACAGCATATTGTTAATCTTTTTGTAAAGTTGTCCTTCAAAAAATTATTTTAACCACCTAATTTAGCTGTTTTGTAAGTAGCAAGGTAAAGAAGGAAAAATAATGAATTTGGAGTACTGAACTTGATTCTAAGTCATGGGATCTAAATTTGAATACCTTTCCCAGACTTCCTTTGACTTTGCATAATTACCTGCCCTAAGTAGACTGCAGCTTCTTCATCAATAAAATAAAGGGGAGGGGATAAACCAAATGTCCTCTAAGGTCTCTTCTAGCTATAGATCTAAAATCCTATGGTCCTATAGATTTTAATTTTAAGTGGCTGCCTAATAATGAAGCCTGAAACAAATAAAATAAATAAAAATATTAAACCTTAAAATGACCAACATATGTTCATGTGTTATTGGTATACCCTAGTGTCAAATGATCCTCCTAAAGGAAGGACCCTTTGACATCCTCTTACTTCTTTAGCTCTGGCCCTCACCCATGTAAAACCTGGACACCAGTTTCTGACATTCTTCCCCTCAAGGGTGGACAAACTGTTGTCCTAATAGCAGAAGTCATATTTATACATTAAAAGATGGACAAAAGATTTCCAAGTCTACAAAATCAAGACCTCTATACCTTAGCCTCCTCTGAGGATAGGGAACCCTGCACTGAGGGAGGCTGAGGTTCACTCATCTATATCCTTGATTCCAAGACTTTCTGTGTGTACCACATTGTCCTTTTGCTGGTAGCTCCTTTGGCTATTGTTCTACTACACCATCCCTCCACTCCTATCAGGTTTCTAGGTTCTTTTCTTAGCCCCTCTTACCAC